CTCGTGGTTTTGCTGTTTTCCTGCACTCAGCACTTGGTAAAAGCATCCAGAGACCACAGAACCACCTCCAGCCTGGGGGGGGAAGGGGAGCATCGAAATCCAGCAGCACTGGGATGTGCAGGGGTTGGGAGGGAGGTTCTGGCTTGTGCCTGGGTGGGATGAGCTCACCCCAAACCTGCTGCACCTCCTTCCCTGCGCACACCACGGGCCCTGAGCACATTCCAGCACAGGGGGACACAACAAATCCATCAGGAGAGGGTACAAAGCTGTACAATGCACAGTTCTCTGCAATTCCCGAGCTGGTGACACCAGTGGGACAGGCAGGACCCTACTGGGGGTGACCAAGGGTGTGACAGCGGGTTTGTCCCTTCCCGGGGCTCCCTAAGCTGGATATTTCCAACAGGGAATGTGCTGGAGGGATGCTGCCACATCCCACAAAGCTCAGGGACCTGGGAGAAAGGGTTGGGTGACCTTGGGGACGGGAGCCAGAGCCGTGGGATGAAATTTCATCGAGCTCAGAGCAAGGTCATCCCTCCCGGGAGCAGCTCCCAGAGGCTGAGCTGGAAAATCCTCCCGGGAAAGGGGGTCGGGGAGGTGGATTGGGGGGCTGGGAGACACCAGGACGTGGGGGTCAGGTCACAACCTGGCCCTGTGCCTTTGGTGGGAGTGATCTGGGCTGTGAAGGCAGCAGGGATCCTCCTGGGATGGGGAGTGGGATCACTGGGCTGGCTCAGCCCTGTGGGAACGGGTTGGGAGTGAGCTGGGCTGATCCCACATGGAGCTGGGCTGATCCCACATGGAGCTGGGCTGATCCCACATGGAGCTGGGCTGATCCCACACCGAGCTGGGCTGATCCCACACCAAGCTGGGCTGATCCCACACCGAGCTGGGTGATCCCACACGGAGCTGGGCTGATCCCACACTGAGCTGGGCTGACCCCACACGGAGCTGGGCTGATCCCACACTGAGCTGGGCTGATCCCACATGGAGCTGGGTGATCCCACACCGAGCTGGGCTGATCCCACACTGAGCTGGGCTGACCCCACATGGAGCTGGGCTGATCCCACACCAAGCTGGGCTGATCCCACACCAAGCTGGGCCGATCCCACACGGAGCTGGGCCGATCCCACACGGAGCTGGGTGATCCCACACCGAGCTGGGTGATCCCACACCAAGCTGGGCTGATCCCACATCAACCTGGGCTGATCCTACACAGAGCTGGGCTGACCCCACACGGAGCTGGGCTGACCCCACACGGAGCTGGCTCATCCCACACCGAGCTGGGTTGATCCCACACCGACCAGAGCCGGGGGATGCTCTTGGCAGGGAGGAGCAGGGAGGAGCTGGGGTGGGATTTTTGGAGCTCCCCGGCTCTGGGACAGGGTTTCTGTGCCGCGGCTGCAGGAGGGAGAGGGGAAGGGAAGCGGGATTTCAGTCTGAGGGGGTTTGTTTAGCCCTGGCAGGGCACGGGCAGGCGAGTTCTGCTGGTGCTGATCCCACCCCTTGGCACGGGGAAGGTTTAATGTGTCTTCTTGGGAGCGATTGCAGCAGGGAGAGAGAGAGAGAGAGAAGGAGGGAGAGAGAGGGAGAGATGCTGTAATGAAAACGTTCCATCATCGACTGGGGCCATTAACCTGCCTCGCTCGGCTCAAAGAGCTCTCGGGGAGCGCCGGGGCCGGTTCCCGGCAGCCGCTCGGGGCCGGGGGGGGGAAAACGAGCCGGACCCGGCTCCGGTTACACCCCCTGTCCCAGCCCCGCGACACCCGAGCGGCCTGAAGGTGACCTGAAGGTGACCGGGGACATTCCCAGCCCGGCACCGGCTCCAAGGGGAGCGTGTCCTGAACCCCCTGGCAGGATGGGGGGTGTTGCCGTCCCGCTTTTTTGTGCGGGAGTTTTGGGAGATGCTGGAGGAGCCCTTGGGCTCGTTCCAGCTCCTCCCCCGCCCGGGAGTTATTTTTACCCTCTCTCTCAGGTAAAAAGCTTTTGGCGGGGGCGAGGGGACGGGGGATGTTTATAATTAGCCGTGACATCAACCCCCGTCGGTGGCGGGGCCGCCGCGCCCGAACCCG